GGACTAGAGCCACGGGTGGCTGTGGAGGCAGGAGGTTGGTAGGAACTTGGGATGCCTTCTTGGAGGTAGTTCTTGAGGCCCACACTGGGGTTAGTCTCGTGCTGCTGTCTCTAGCCCTCAGTTTCCCCACCTGTTGGACTTTTGTCCCGGCTCTTTGGTGCTGGAACTTGAGAATGGACCCAGGGGAGAGGGGGTGAGAAAAGATTCTTGGCTGTATTCTCACAGTCCCACCTCCATTCTGCCTTTCCTTTCCTAGATGGCATGATCAACATTGACATGACAGGAGAGAAGAGGTCCTTGGATCTCCCATATCCTAGCGGCTTTGCTCCTGTCTCGGCACCCAGAAACCAGACCTTCACTTACATGGGCAAGTTCTCCATTGACCCCCAGTACCCTGGTGCCAGCTGTTACCCGGAAGGCATCATCAATATCGTGAGTGCAGGCATCCTGCAAGGGGTCACCTCCCCCGCTTCAACCACAGCCTCATCCAGCGTCACCTCTGCCTCCCCCAACCCATTGGCCACAGGACCTCTGGGTGTGTGCACCATGTCCCAGACACAGCCTGACCTGGACCATCTCTACTCTCCACCACCACCTCCTCCTCCTTATTCGGGCTGTACTGGAGACCTCTACCAGGACCCCTCTGCGTTCCTGTCAGCAGCCAACACCTCCAACTCTTCTTCTCTGGCTTACCCACCACCTCCTTCCTATCCGTCCCCCAAGCCAGCCACGGACCCAGGTCTCTTCCCCATGATCCCAGACTATCCTGGATTTTTTCCATCTCAGTGCCAGAGAGACCTACACAGTGCAGCTGGCCCAGATCGAAAGCCCTTTCCTTGCCCCCTGGACTCCCTGCGGGTCCCCCCTCCACTCACTCCACTCTCTACCATCCGTAACTTTACCCTGGGGGGGCCCAGTGCTGGGGTCACTGGATCAGGAGCCAGTGGAGGCAATGAGGGACCTCGGCTGCCTAGTAGCAGCTCTGCAGTAGCTGCTGCAGCGGCCTATAACCCACACCACCTGCCTCTGCGGCCCATCCTGAGGCCTCGAAAATACCCCAACAGACCCAGCAAGACACCAGTGCATGAGAGGCCCTACCCGTGCCCAGCAGAAGGCTGTGACCGGCGTTTCTCCCGCTCAGATGAGCTGACAAGGCACATCCGAATCCACACAGGACATAAGCCCTTCCAGTGTCGGATCTGCATGCGCAACTTCAGCCGTAGTGATCACCTCACTACACACATCCGTACACACACGGGTGAGAAGCCCTTTGCCTGTGACTACTGTGGCCGCAAGTTTGCCCGGAGTGACGAAAGGAAGCGTCACACCAAGATCCACCTGAGACAGAAGGAGAGGAAAGGCAGTGCTCCTTCTTCATCGGTGCCAGCCCCCTCTTCAGCCTCTTGCACGGGGGTCGCACAGGCTGGTGGCAGCCTATGCAGCAGCAACAACAGCACTATCGGTGGAGGGCCGCTCGCCCCATGCTCCTCTCGGACCCGAACACCTTGAGAGGAGAATCAAGTTGACACACCAGTTCCTCAAGGCCCCCAAAGGCATTTCGTCCACTCCAGCTGCATGACAAACACTACCACCCTTCCCTGCTCCCCTTCCATTTGGTGGGCAAAGGGCCTTGGTAGAACCCAGTCAGTCCTGCCCTTCTTTCCTTTAGAAACAGGTCTTTCCTAAAATTTAGCACATTTTGGTGAGTTGACTGTCACCCCAAGGCAATAGGGAGGAGTCCCAGAAGGAGGTTGAGTGAGAGCCCTTGGCCTACAGGGCTGAGGCCTGGCCCCTGCTTTCAAGGGTTGTTTGACTAGGTTTTACTGCACCATCCTCTTTTGCTGACTGGAGACATTTTCTACAATAAGTTGGGAGAGGCTGATCCTTTAAAATGGGGACAGCAAAAAGATATTGTGCACTTTATGGCTTGGGACTGATTCGGGGGACGGTGTACAGCGAACAGTGAGCAAATGGCCTTTACGCCGCATTCTGTGGCCCCAGAACCAGCTTATCTAGTTGTCTCAACCCTTAAAGCAATATGTATTATAAACCCAGAGAACAGAAGTGCAATGTGATGGAGGGGACATAGCAATATTTGCTCCTTTTGTTGAGTTTTGTATAGACTATTTTTTTTCAGTGTATATCCACTCAGATTTTGTGTATTTTTTGATGTGCACTGTTCTCCAAGTTCTGAATATTTGGGAAAAAATGTAAAGCATTTATGATCTCTTGAAGTGAGTCAGAGGTTAACTTATTTAAAGGGGGATGTACATATATGTTCTCTGAAACTAGGATGCATGCAAATGTGTTGGAAGTGTCCTTGGTGCCTTGTGTGATGTAGACAATGTTACAGGGTCTGCATGTAAATGGGTTGCCTTACTATGGAAAAATAATCACTCCTTGGGTTAAGTATGGCTGTATATTTCTGCCTATTAATATTTGGAATTTTTTTAGAAAGTATATTTTTGTATGCGCTGTTTTGTGACTTAAAAGTGTTACCTTTGTAGTCAAATTTCAGATAAGAAAATGTACATGTTACTGGAGCTGATTTGTTTGGCTATTAGCTCAATAGTTGTGGAAAAACAAGTGATCTATTCTAATGCTAAACCACTAACTAGAGTTCAGATAATGGTTTATGACTATAGTGTAAATAAATACTTTTCAACAATATTTTTGTTTCAGAAATCATTTATGAAATGTTTACTAGGTGGGAATTAAGTCATTCAGCACTTGTGGAATTATTGAAAACAAAAACAGCACTAAGTATCAATGGGCTAGAGCTTTGGACTAAGATAAGACCACCAAGTTTTCTTTGCTATTCTCCACAGTAATCTCCATTCATGATCAAACACTAGTTAGTGTTTTGGGGATTTCCCCCTATGCATTAGTGTAAAAGTAGGGAGGCGTTGTTTTGACTCATTGTTCCGTCCTCTTTAACAGCCTATATAGTTTCTGTCTGCTCCTGAGTGGGCTTTGGAGAATAAATACTTACAAACAAGTGCCCACTCGGAGACTACATATTTGCAACTGCATTCAGAACTCTGACCAGTGTCTGGGACTCAAGGATGTGGCTTTGTGGAATATCTGGTTGAGCTGGGAATTTGTGTCAGGCTCCAGTATCAATCTCATGACTACAAAAAAACTTTTTGAAAGCACTATCACCACTTCACATCAAAAAATGCTCTCCAACATTGCTGATGGCAGCACTCATGGGTTGCCATAGTAAGTACCTCAGGACTCATCTCTCTGAGGTCCTCACTTCACATTTATTGAGAAGAATCATTCATCAGTGATTTGGTGGATCTAGAAGTGACTATAAAAATAGCTAGCTTGTTATTAAGACAGGTGTTCTCCAGCCTTGAAAAAAATCTTAGAGGCAAATGTATAAATAAAATCCTCCCTTGACAGTGGATAATGGTTTGCAAACAAAATACACTCTGATGGTTAATTTTACTGGAAGCCTTTTGCAATTTTAAAATAAACTCACCATGTTCCCAAATTACTAATCTACCCACTTTTTTTTTTATCCTATAGGGAACAAATAGATCATATGCCTGTGACATTATCATCTTTATATTCCATGCTTCTTAAGCAGATTCCTATGTTGAACCACTGTTCCACAACATCTGAGAAAATCTCTTCATCTGCCTGTAGTTTTATCAGTGCTGGCACTGCCTGAAGGTGGCAGATAATTTTGAGAGTCTGTATTTCAGTAGCATGGACAGGGACAGTTACTCACCTGTTGCCTTCAGCACTGGAATTTGAGAATTTATGGAGTTAATGAAGCCCTTCCTTAAAACTACAGTATTTCAGAACTTGAGTGCCAAGATTTTTTTCCGTTACATATTATCCTGCTTAACCAGTTTTGGTAAGTATAAAAATATTAGTTTGATAATTGTTTCTAACAAATACTCCTTTCCAAGATTTTGTATTAAAATATGGTATGCTCAAGTTTTGAACAATATGTAACCATCTTCTCAAAGGATGATTTCAGGCTGTTTTGAAAATCAAGATTATATAAACCATTGTTTACAAAGCAGTAAACTAGGCAGCTTTAAAAGTAAGTTTGAAAACATTTTAATGGAATCTGGCTACACCATCACTTTGACGTTGGCTTGCTGAAGTAGCAATCACATCTACTGCAAGGAAGACCAAACTTTTAGTGTTTCTTCAGGGCCAACCTTGGCTTTTACTCCTGGATTTCAACATGCTAGGACAGTACCTTTAAACAGTTCTCTACTTAAAATATTCAGCCACTTCAAAGGCATTTGTTTTTACTTTGCTCAAGAAATAAATGGGCATCAAGTGTGTTGTTCTTCGAACCTTACCTGTGCTTTATAGGGTATTATAGATACCTCCATTACTGTTGATTTGTATTAAAAAGTAACTGCTGGAGAATAACTCCTTAAAAATGCATAATACTTTTGAGATGGCTCTTCATAATTATAAACAAGTTAATTAAACTTAACTGTCCATCAACTATACTATTTAATTTCAGTATCTTTACTGCTGAGATTAAGGCAATTTTTTCATATATTAAAAATTGCTGCTGTTAATATCTAACTTTTCAATATGTTTTGTGTGTATATATGTGTGTGGAGGAAGGATGGTCGGCATCTACAGATACTTATATGCCAAACAACAAATACATAAATCCTATAAAAGGAAAATCAAGAGCAGAACAAAATATTCAAGTCTTTAAGGCACTTCCTTTTTTAAAAGACAAAAATTATTTTGTTTTCTTGTAGTAATTTTCTTTTGGTTAAACCTGAGTTTTGTTACAGCAAAATAATGTATTTATACATTAGTTTCTGGTATTTTTGGTCATCCTGTTTCAAAGCACCAGTCGTAAGTTTGTATTATTTCTTGGACTTTAGAAATCTACAAACCACTTTTATTACAATATAATCCTATAGTTTAAACTGAAGTTTTAATAGTGATCAAAACATTGTAAAAAGGTAATGCCTTCTACATTCTTCAATAACAAGATTTCTCTTAAGTAATTTTAAACACATCTTTATTTTCCATAAACACACTGATTTTTAATGGGAAGTGTAAACTTGGATTCAAAGATTCAGTATCATTAAAAGTTTCATCTATGCTGGTGGGAGCCTCAGTACAATGGAACTGAGCAGCTTCCCAGGATCCCGAGTTCTGAATTCAGACCGGCAGTTGCAGGAGTAACTGTTCTCAGGACAGAATTGAATAGCAATGGGAAAAGGTCTGAATTAAAGATACATTGCTTCTTTGCTGGGCCACAGTATTAAAACACACAAGATCCAGAAATCATTTGCAACAGAGGAGCCATCAGAGTCCTCCTGATAAGCCAAGACTAAGGCACCTATAAGGTGACAATAGAAGGTGGGAAAATAAAACGTACACATTTTGGGAGAAGGGCTATTCATGCTGAAAGCTCAGGAAACTTACTCTTATTAATAAAACACATTGCTTAAAAAGCAGACTATCATTTTCTTTAATAAACACCATTTGTTATAAAGTCAAGCCATCAAATCAAGCTTAATAATAATCATTTCTGAAAGTAGTATATATGTAGGTACACAAAATTTCATATTGATATAACTGGTCACTGATACAGTTAGAAAACTTAAAAGCTTCAGAAGTATTTAGACAATTTCTCATCCACGAGAGGCAATTATTGCATTTATTATTCAACAGAAAAGTAATACCATTGTGCTCATTAGTCTTTCCAACGGGAAGGTAACTTCTATCCTATAGCCGTTACTAAAACAATCTGCCTTTCAGGACTACATGAAAACACAATAGCAGCAACATCAAGTCAGTTATGATTAATAGTTTATGCATAGAGGTGAGGTTTTTTTTCTTCTGCATTTTGTCTTTGTTATGCGCATATTCTCTCAGCATGTGTTCATTAAAACAAGTTATTTTGTTTACAACATTTACTCAATGAATCAAAAATTTCACTGTTCTTACTGATCTAGATCCAAAAGATATCACATTGTTTTCTCAGTCAATCTTTTGAAAAGCACCTAGTTTTCTTCTAAATTGCTTATAATTGAAAACTTTATACTTTTTGGTTTCTTGGTAATAAAGTCCTTAATAATTCTTTTATTACTAACCTGTTTTCAGGATGAGTTTCTATAAAGTAGTTTAATATACTTTATATTATACTACATTTACATTAAGTAATTTTTGCACATCAACAATGTAATTCAAAGACATACACAATCATTGCTGTGCTGTGAAAAAAAACTTGTGAGGCTAAGAAAATCATTTGTCTATCACCACTGGTTTTCAAAGTGAATGGCAGGCTGAGCTGCTTCACACTGTCTCCAAGGAATTTTAAACCACACAATGTGAAACTACCATTTTAGCAACCCTGAACAAAATTAATGAATCATGCCTGTGTTATGTGTTACAACAGGGTTTAGTAGCATGTTATGCGGAGTAAGTTACTTTTTTTTTTTAAAGATCATTCTCCATGGGTTTGCTCCTTCATACTATTAAAAATGGAATAAATACTCCTAAACCCTGCCCTCCATAATGCAGCGGCAAAGCACATATTGGTTTCCCAGAGTCAACACTTTCCACCAGTAATAGTAAATCTCCCTTTTACAAATATTAGAACTACTGCCACTGGGGCAAGTCAATCAAGAGGGCTTAGACGACAGCTGGCCAAATTTTAGTGTGTTTATTTCTACAGTTTGTTCTCATGAAAAGTTTTGTGAATAAAAGGAATCCTATAAATAGTAAAAAGGGAAAACAGTGCTCCGTAGGCTGAAGCAAATGGTGTCAATACACTTGTAAACAAGGTAAAGTTGCTCAGACTAGGGAAAGGACAGAAATAAAACAAAAGTATAGATAGCACAACTGTTCATTCCAAGAGTTCAAAGTGGGAAGTGTTTAATCCCAAATTTTGGAGCTTTAAAACAGCTAATAGTTAATGCTCAAGTTTTCTGGCCTAGATTACCTGTATCTATTGAAAACTTGTCATTGGAGCCAGCATTGGTTCTCTGAGAAGCTGAGAAAACATCACTAGCAATTCGGCTGGAAACAGCCCCTCTGAATGCTAGAGTTCTTGAAAAAACATGAAACAGCCATCAACATAATTTTTCTACCTTTTTACAGGAAGATATTGGAAGTAGCAGGTGTAGAATTCAACAGCTTGGCTAAGAGTCTTACATTCAATTATTTGGAAGCATAGCAGATTCAGCTCCTCTGAATCTTCTTGTTAGAATGGCCCTAACACCTATTAAAGTATATTAAGACAAAGGAAACGAGACTTGAGGATAATAGTTTTTGCATTAATGGTGAATCTACAACCAAAGGGGAAAAAAAAATATCTCAACTGGCAAATTTGGACTCCAGACTTCTGGGGACGATAAGCTGTAAGGAATCAGCTCCCACTGAAATAGGAAGGTGTTGGTTTCTTAGTAGACACCACCTGAATAACCAGATGTTATAGGATCAAAGGAGGAAAAATTACAAACTTTATCCTCGACATGCATAGTTAAGTCTTGGGGGTGATCCCCAAACTGGAACAGATGACTTAATTTTCATAGGGAATTAGGATAGTGAGGGTATCTCACTTTTTAAAAAGTAGCTCACATGGCAACCCAGTTTTTACCAATGAACTGAAAACTAAAACAATCCAAACTACTGGGTCATGCACAGTAATAAGTTAAAACTGTAAGGGCGAAAAGGTCGAAAGGGCAGGGAGAAGAAAGCAATCCCTATTTAGTGAAAGATGTGTGTTGGGGGGGGGCGGGAGGGCACCACTTAATGTATTGGTACAGTATGGAAAATGGGAAGAATATTTTCATTATGGCTTGAGATGGAAGCGCTTCGGAGAGTTCCTGCCCAACTCTCCCCAATCAAAGCTTTGATGGCAGCTGACAGTACCCAAAACAACCCTGCCTCCTCCTGCCCACCCTGACCCTATAACCAGTCCGGTCACTCTAGTTTCTAGAGGCTGCTGAGGAAGCTGGACTATCCCTGTCCCTCCAGGAGGATCCAACACCCAGGCTAGAGGGCAGAGGGAGCAGAAGGAAGTAAGGGAGTGTGGGGAGGGGAAAAAGGGAGGGGAGAGGGAGGGATAGACAGAGACAGAGAGCGCGCAGGAGATCGGGAGAAGGGGAGAGCCCTTGTGGCGGGGTGGTGGGCAGCCAGGCCCTGATCCGGAGCAGGGGACATCTTCAGCCCACCGCGCCCAGGGGCCGGTGGCTTCAGGGCAGGACCTTAGGACCTGGATAGGGCTCTCCCTCGCACCAGAAGTCATCGGCCTGCGGGGTCTCGAGGAGCCACACTTCTCGAGGCAGGTCACTGGTCGAGCCGGAGGCCCCTCTGGGCCTGATGGGCTCCAGCACCCGGTAATAGTGGCAGTCTCGGCCATCATCTGGGTCGTAGGGCGGAGCCAGGATGTCCAGGAAGGCGGCGGGCCCGTCCACCGCGTCGATCTGGTGTAGGTTGTCCCGGTACGGCGTGAGGACGCAGGGGCCGCTGGCCTCGGTGTACTCGCCCTGGGAGCGCAGGACCCCCGGCCGCACGGCCTCCCGCTCTTTGGCTTGCAGCGGCGGCTCGAACTGCTGCTCGGGCGGCGGAGCCCGCGGCCGCTGCCCGCCGCCCGCCTCCAGCTTGTCCATGCAGCTGATGCGCACGGTGCCGTACAGCACCTTGAGCATGCCGTGCATGCCCGGGTGGTCGTGCAGCGGGATGGAGGTGCCGCTCTTGAGCAGGAACACGCCGAGGCTGAAGCCGTCCGTCTCGTAGATGTGCATGTAGGTGACCGGCGGGTGGCTGGGCGGCAGGGGCTGCAGCGTGGCCTTGCGCGGGGCAATGTTCAGGTCTTCGGCGCGGACCTGGGTCAGCAGGTTCTTCAGCTTGCTCAGGTTCTCCGGGAAACCGGGAGGCATCGGCACCTCGGCACCCGAGGCCGCGCCGCGGTCGGAAGAGCCGCGGCCGCCCCCACTGCCCCGGAAGGTGAGGCAAGCCTGGCGGGCTATCCGTTGGATTAAGGAAGCCATGTTGTCTCGGGGCATGCTCGGTGGATCGTCCGCGAGCCGGGGCCGGCCCCCTCCTTTCCTCCGCCCCTTGCGGTCCCCGGCGGCCGCCACGGCTGCCCGCAGCCCCTGGGACGTTAGGCGGGAGGCCCAGTAACTACCGGCCCGTCCGGCGCGCGGCGCCGCCGCCAACTTCAGCAGCCACGAGTCCGTCGCAGGCCGACGCGCCGAGCTGGCGTCCTCCCCCCGAGCGCGCAGGCGCACGGCTCACGGCCCGCACTCACGCTCCGAGAAGCAGGTACCGGTGGTGCGGACGGTGCCAAACTTGGCTTTAAACCCGGCGCTCCATTCATGCGACCCGCACCTACTACGGCCGCAGGGCGTTCCGGAAGCCGCGTGGAGCATGCTGGGACTTGTAGTCCACCGTTCCGACCGAGCGCTGACCCGCGCTGTCGTGGCTAACTGGAAAAGAGACATAACATGACACCCGTTGAGCACAAAGCGACCTTACCCGCCGGCTCTCCCCTTAAGATACCAAAGTAATTTTTTTTGGTTTGACAAGTGGTATTTGGGAAGTGCATGAGATTTAGCCGCTTGACTACAACTCCCGGCGACCCCCGTGTCTTAGGTTGCGCACTTCCGGCAGCTGGCCGGTGGTGTGGATAGAGCCTTCAGCTGCGGGCAGGCGTTGGGCCGGGGGGTCGTTGGCCTTCCGGCGCCGCTGGCTAGAGGTCGGAGCGGGGTCGCCTTCTTTGCCCTTGCTCCGGGGAAGACGGGAGGCTGTGGATTCCACCTGAAGTTGCACGTAGCCGCCCGGGTAGCACTGGGTCAGCCGCTGGGATTTCAGAAAGCGCTTTCGTCACCCGAGCATCTCCGGAGGGGGGGGGAGGGGTGCAGGGGGGTCCAGCACCGCCGGCCCCGGCTGGGGTGGCGTCTGGGCCCTGGACGCTGCTCTGGTTCTGCAGGGGAGCAGTCCCTTCCCGGGAGTGTCCGAGGACCCCCAGGCTCTGTTAGAATAAGGGTTCCTGAACCCTGGTTGGCCCTTGAGGCGAAGCCTGTATCGGAAGCTCTTATAAATAATAGATTCCGTACAGTCGTGGAGCGATGGATGCATTCGGTGACGCGGATCCCTTCCTGCAGAAGCTGCATGGAGCACTTTCCGCAGGGGCATTTTACTTCGGGAAGTGCCTGCTTTTGACCGAAGCAGCAGCAGAAGGCTTGAAAAGCAAGACATTAGATATCATGACTTCAGACTTAATCCCCCCTTGGATTTCCAGAGCTAAACATGAGCTTTGTGTACATTTTGTTACCAGTGATTTATTGAAATCCCTTCTTGTTAAAATAGGCATCCGTTTTTAGTGGGTTATGTAATCTCGCTAATGAGGACTCACAGTGCCGCAGACACTTATGTGAAGTGCATTATGTAATGAACGTTATAACGTTTAATCCTCAGAAACTCTTCAGAGGTAGGCACTAATATGATCTAGGATAGCTTGCAGATGAGGAAATAAGTTACACAAGGCTATCGGGTTGTAACTCATCAGGATCATATAAGTAACAACAAATACTAGTTAGCCTGCAACCATGCTGGATTTCCAAATCTGTTACTTTTTATTACTTGTCTACACACGGCCTTAAATGAAGTTCATTATTTTCATCTACAGATTGGTATAATAAGGTACCTGTGTAAATCACTGATGACACACCACCTAAAACCATAATAGTTACCATGTTATAGAGTAGCTGTTATTAAAGTTTTTAAATGACTAAAAGTTGTACTTTAAAAATCCAGTGGATGGATAAATATTTAGCAAATACTGAAATGGGCCATGACTTGTGTTGAAAATCAGCTTCAGGGTAGAGATTTAAAAGATTATTATTGGTAAAACCATCTTCCTGGTAATACCACTCCCCAGGTTCTTTAGTTTACCTACGTAAAAAATACCTGGGGCTGTATGTCTAGAGTCTCAAATTGTGTTGAAACCTTCTGAATCAGCTTTTTTGCACACTGATTTTTTTTTAACAATGAATCAAGTGCAGTCATATAGTAATTTTTGGTCCACAGATTACCTTCATATTTCATTTTAATACTGCCCTTCTGAGGTTCACTAATGAACAATACTGACCCTAAGGTCTTTGGCCCTTAGCACATTGCTTGACTTTCTGTCCCAAGGAGTAGCTATCATAGGCTGAGTGGGTTTTAAATTTTTTAAAAAAAATTATCATTAATGTCCTGTTTTATGCTCTTTATTTTGTTTTCCTCAGTGTTGGTATAAGAATGAAGATCAAGAGAAATCTAGAAAAGGGAACAGACAAGAAAAGAACATTGATAGTAAGCAGATGCTAGAAAATACATGGCAGAACACGATTTGGGAGAAGTTTAGAATAAATGGACTGTATCACCCATTAAAAAGTGATAGTCAAAGCCAGGCACTGGTGGCTCACACCTGTAATCCTAACTACTCAGGAGGCTGAGATCTGAGGATTATGGCACATAGCCAGCCTGGACAGAAAAGTCCCTGTGAGACAGTTATCTCCAATTGACCACTCAAAAAGTGGAAGGGGAACTGTGGCTCAAGTGGTAGAGTGCTAGCCATGAGCACAGAGAGGCTCAGGGACAGTGCCCAGGCCCTGAGTTCAAGCCCCACAACCGACAAAAAAGAAAAAAAAGTGATAGCCAGTAGGTACCAGGCATTGCTGTAGGTTTGGGGGATTCAGTAAGGAACAGAGTAGACAAGGTTTGATTTCCCTAGAATATGCATACGACTTTGTGTCCATATTTAGGGAGTAGTTAAATATGCTGTGGTTCAAATGTGTCTTCCAAAGGTTTGTGTGTGGAAACAGTTTACATATGTTGATATTTACAGGTAGCATCTTTAGTTAGGATTAGAGTAGTTCTGATGACTTTAAGAGCATTATAAGAAAAAGAGGATCCGAGGTTGTTTATGTGCTATTTTTCTGTTACATAAGAACATCCTTGAGGGCTGGGAAGGTGGCTCAGTGGTAGAGCGCTTGCCTTGCATGCATGAGGCCCTGGGTTCGATTCCTCAGCACCACATAAGCAAAAAGAAAAAAGCCGGAAGTGGCACTGTGGCTCAAGTGGTAGAGCGCTAGCCTTGAGCTGAAGAGCTGAGGGACAGCGCCCAGGCCCAGAGTTCAGGCCCCACGACGGACCCCCCCCCCAAAAAAAGAACATCCTTGATATATGTGACGCCCTGAACTACCCAGCCTCCAGAGCTGAAACATAAATCCCTGTTCTCTAGAAATCAGTCAGTTTTGAGTATTGTGCCCTAGCAGGAGAAAATGGACTGAGACAGGGTATGTGTAGTTGGCAATATATTTTCAGGCAGAACTAACTTCTACAGACAGTTAGCTTGGTAAGATGATATATTTGTGTGTGATATTTATCTATTATTTAGTTTTAAGTAGATGTAGAAAGAGGTTCGAATCCCATAAATCACATTGTGAGCACAGTGTATCTTGCTCGATCTCATCCCTCTTCCATTGTTCTCCCCCATCTTTCCCTGTCCTATCCATACCCACAAGTTATGTAGTTCAACTTTTTCAATGAGCCTAACAGTCATTGAATACACTGTTGTTTTAAATTGGATTGTTATGAATTATTGGAGGATCAGATTTGAGTGGTGCTTGAAATCACTGAGTTAAACTGATGAAAATCTGGGGTCAGTGTATTCTAGGATGAGGAAACAGCCCCGAGACTGTTGAGCAGGGTATTTTATATACCACAGCATTGACCAGGCAGGGAAGAACGTGATTCCTACCACGTAGAGAGGAAAAAGATAAAAGCCTGCAGGGTCATTGCATAGTCAGCTTCAGAGTTCCTGGAGGGAGACGTAATGGGAAAGGTAAGCAAGAGCCTGCTTACGTGTGAGTTATAGGCTCTGGGAGGGGACCTAGGGATCTATACGCTGTGATAGGGCACTGGATTTTATTATAAGGGAAGTGGGAAGCCTTGGGGAGCTTTGGATGTGAGGATGAGTTGATCTGTTTTATGTTTTTAAAGAGATTGGTGGTGGGACGAGTATAAAAGAAGAGAATGCAGATTCAAACCAGCAATCTAGAGGAAAGATAAGAAAAGTAGTGTAAAAACTGGTTATCTATTTTATAGGTACGGGTGACAGGCCTTTCTGATGAGCCATTGCTTTGGCAATTTATTTTAAAATATATTCTCCACATTTTCTCCTTCACAAGTTGACAGCTCTGTGGTGATAGGTAAGACTGATAAAGCTTAAATCCCACCTTCTGCCCACATCTATTATATTTAGGAATGGGGAAAGCACACAGAGGTATGAATAAAGCTGAGACTATTTTCTTCTTCTTTGCAGTTGCTTAATTAGTCAAGAAATAACTGGAAGAGCCTCCAGCCTACATCTGTTTAACTTGCCTGCTCGTTTATAGAATGTTATCATTCTTTGAGAACTCTGCTGTTATTTTTTCTTTCATCCTTATTCTTTCACTTTACTGACTTTTACATAGATCTTTTTTTTATTTTTTAATTTTTTTGGGGGGGGTCCAGTCACAGGGCCTGAACTCTGGGTCCGGGCGCTGTCCCTCAGCTCTTCAGCTCAAGGCTAGCGCTCTACCACTTAGCCACAGCGCCACTTCTGGCTTTTTTTTACTTTTTGCTTATGTGGTGCTGAAGAATCGAACCCAGGACCTCATGCATGCAAGGCAAGCACTCTACCACTGAGCCACCTTCCCAGCCCTTACATAGATCTTTTATATTTCATTTTGTTTATCTTTTCTTCACACTGGGACTCAGTCTGAAAGAACACAAAAATCCTGATATTCTCAGAATCCCTAGCCTCACTTTTGCCTTATTCTTGGCTATAGTGTAAGCTGGAAAGTTCTCTGTCCCATGTCCAGTTGTCACTGTCCCCTTACTTCTATATTTACCTTTTATATTAGGATAGAACATGGTAAATATAATGATTGTAATTTTTTTTTTTGTTAATCATGGAGCTTCAACTGAGGGCCTTGGTACTGTCCCTGAGCTTTTTTGCTCAAGGTTAGTACCATACCACTTTGAGCCACTTCCAGTTTTCTGATGATTAATTGAGGTAAGAGTGTCACAGACTTTCCTTCCTGGGCTTGCTTTGGACTGAGATACACAGATCTCAGCCTTCTGAGTAGCTAGGATTATAGGCATGAGCCACTGGTGCCTGGCTTTGATAATGATTTTCTTGTTTTTAGAAACATACTTAGGCTGTGTGACATTTTGAACTCATATTGTGGCTTTCCAGATGACAAAAAATTTTGGTGTCAGTTTCTCATACTATATCATGAGTGAATGTCAAGTTGTAAAACAACTAATTGCAAAGTCAGAAGAATGAATGGCATGGCTCTGCCGTGAGCTATGCACCATTGACGACAGGATTCCGATTCCAGCGTAC